TGGGCACGTCCCTCTTGGTTCCTCCGAGCTCCTTTCTCTCTGGTTCGCCTCCACTCTCTCCCTTTTTCTCTCTTTTTCTTCTTCCCAATTTTAGCTCGCCATGGCTAAGTCTGAGATTGGGAGGGATATAACTCGCGGAAGAGAGGTCGCAGGGGTCGATGTCCGGGCCCAGGGGCAAGCCTGCAGCGTCCTCCAGGCGTCGGACGGTGGCTGGACGCGTGTGGATCCAATTTCCGACGAGTTCTCGCGTCCCGAAACTCGCAACAGAGCGAGCTGGGAACTGTCGGATTCCGGTCCGCCGGACCAACTCCTGGTCCGCCAGACCGGAATCTTATTTTTTTTCAAATTTTTCTTCCAGTCCGCGCTGTCCAGCTCAGTCCGACTGTGGTTGGTCCGCCGCTGACCAACCCTGATTCTTGGTGATTTCGTGATATTCCTATTTAATTATTTATATTTAAATAATTAAATATTCCATTCGGGTTTCGGGGTATTACAGAGAAGCTCATCGAGCTTCTCTCCTTGTCATGCTCCCCGGGGTTGTAAATCTTCAACCTTTGCGCGTTGGCCTTGAATGTATCCCCTCCATAACCGTATAACTCTATCGCTCCGTGAGGGTAGACGTTTTAACCGTGAAAGGCCCCGACCAACGCGACCTCAACTTGCCTGGAAAAAGTTTGAGCCTTGAGTTAAAGAGAAGTACCTGATCGCCCTCTCTGAACTCTCTCTGCAAAATCCGACGATCGTGCCATCTCTTTGTCCTCTCTTTATAAATCTGGGCATTCTCATAAGCATCCAACCGAATCTCATCGAGTTGGTGAAGCTGTAGCACTCGCTTCTCCGCAGCGGATTTCCAATCGTAGTTCAGCTTCTTGATCGCCCAATATGCCTTATACTCAAGCTCAACCGGCAAGTGACAAGCTTTCCCATAGACAAGTTGAAAGGGAGACATACCGATGGGTGTCTTGAAGGCTGTCCTATACGCCCATAGAGCGTCATCGAGCTTGGATGCCCAATCTTTCCTTGACCTTGACACCGTCTTCTCAAGTATCGCCTTGATCTCCCTATTCGAGACTTCAACTTGTCCGCTCGTCTGAGGGTGATACGGGGTAGCCACCTTATGTCTCACACCATACTTCTTCAAAAGCGCTTCTATGGTGCGGTTGATGAAGTGGGATCCTCCATCGCTAATCACGACCCTTGGCGTCCCGAACCGCGGAAAAATCACCCTCTTGAACATCTTTGTCATCACTTTCGAGTCGTTAGTGGGACTCGCCATTGCTTCTACCCACTTGGTGATATAGTCGACCGCCACGAGGATGTACTGATTCTCATAGGAAGATGGGAACGGTCCCATGAAGTCTATGCCCCAAACATCAAAGGGCTCGACTTCCAAGATGTATCGCTGAGGCATCTCGTGGCGGCAGGAGATGTTCCTCGTTCTCTGGCAAGCATCACAGGATGAGACGTATTGATGAACGCCTTTGAACATTGACGGCCAATAAAACCCGGCTTGAAGAATCTTAGCTTCAAAGGGCTCGACTTCCAAGATGTATCGCTGAGGCATCTCGTGGCGGCAGGAGATGTTCCTCGTTCTCTGGCAAGCATCACAGGATGAGACGTATTGATGAACGCCTTTGAACATTGACGGCCAATAAAACCCGGCTTGAAGAATCTTAGCTGAGGTCTTCGATGCTCCAAAATGACCAGCATAGTCCGAAGAGTGACAATGATGGATCACACTCCGGACTTCCTCTTCGGGCACACATCTCCTAAAGAGGCCATCCTTGCCTCTCTTGAAGAGGTAAGGTTCTTCCCAAAAATAATCTTTGATGTCTCTGAAGAACCTCTTCTTCCCGTTGTAATCCAGCTTGTGAGGAATGTACCCGCTAACAATGAAGTTCACAAAATCAGCATACCACGGGTCTCTCTCCTTCACCTGGACAGCCATAACACAATCATCTCGGAGACAATCATCGATAGGAACTTCCTCATGTCGCTCAATCCGAGATAAGTGGTCGGCCACTCCATTCTCTGTACCCTTCCTATCTCTGATCTCCAAGTCAAACTCTTGCAGCAAAAGAATCCATCTGATTAACATCGGCTTGGCATCCTTCTTGGATAGGAGATATCTCAAGGCAGCATGGTCGGTGTACACAATCACCTTCGACCCGACCAAGTAAGACCGAAACTTCTCAAAGGCAAAGACAATAGCGAGTAACTCCTTCTCAGTGGTGGAGTAATTGACTTGTGCATCATCCAAAGTCCGACTCGCATAATAAATGGCGTGCAGCTTTCTGTCTTTCCTTTGGCCCAAGACAGCCCCGACGGCGAAATCGCTCGCATCGCACATAAGCTCAAAGGGAGCTTCCCAATCCGGCGGCTGAATAA